CCCGACGTGACAAACGCCGATTTCACGACACCCCCTTCCGTCGGCCTCGCCACTTGCGAGTCGTTCGGCGAGCTGGAGGTAGGGGGCCACGCTTGCTGCGCGCCGCCCCCACTGAAGTGCAGGACTGCCCCTGCAGGTTCAGGATCGGCGTGGAGCTGAGCTGTTTTTTGGCCCACCTGCGCTCGGCGCCCGCGACGCGGGGCTCGCCGGCGCGATGCTGGAGGGCTACCCGTTGCTGCCAGAAGAATGGGTGCATCCCTGCTTCGGCGCTCTTCCGATGGGCCTCAAGTGGAGCTTATTGTTTGCGCAGGTGGCGAACCAGGGGCTTGTCGAGAAGTTGCCAAGAATCTCTCCGCGCGCCCGCCTGCGGAACTTCGGAGTCGGGCTGCTGCTGCAGACCTCGAAGGAGATTGCCCACTACATCTACGCGGGCAATGTTGGGGTGCCAGGCGGGAGCAAGCATGAGGTGCGACACTTGAAGTGAACGCCTCGGGCCTGGCCACTCGCGACGACCAGGCGGCCGACCCCCGCGGCGTGAACTTGGGCGCCCTCCCGGGCGGTGCGTCCGTGGCTCGAACCAGCGAGACGCGCTTCTGGAGGTCGGGTCGCTGCCCCAGCGGGGCTCTGGCCCAGGGGCGTCTCAGCCCCAAAGGCATGGGGCGTTCGCCTTCATGCTGAAGCGGTCGCTTCTCTTCGCCTTGCTGGCGCGCTCCCAGTGCGCCGGGCTGGGCGGCGTCTAGGGCGCCGCTCTCTGGGGCTCCAGGACAGGGGAGGTCGAAGTCCGCCGGGGACTTCTTCTTCTCGTTCCATCTTGCTGAAAGTAGCAGTAGGACTCGAGGGCGATCGCCGCCGACGCGCGTCTCAGCGGCATGGCGGTGGCGCTGGCGGATTTCGATTTTCAGTTCGCGAAGAGCGGCGGGCGCAGAGATGGGCGGTAGCGTTTCCAGAGCCTGGCCGAGGGTGGAGTTCTCGACGAGCGGCCTCGCGCGCGAGCAGGCATGATGGCTGGAGTGCGAGAGGCCCTCTCCGATCCTGTCACAGTGAGAGTCCCAGGAGGAACCGTCGAACCTGATGAGCGGGAGGGGGGTCCAGATTTCCCGCAGATCGCCCCATCCCCCGTCAGGAATGCACATTGGCGCCCCACGTTTTCAGGACCTTGTGCCCGTATGTAGCCGGTCCACACCCTGGAAGCCAAGGCCGTCGTCTGGGCGTTGAGGCGCCAGCTTAGAGATCATCGTCTCCGCCATCGACGTTGTCTACGCCCGCGCGATAATACGCGCGCCTCTCGCATTCTCGACAGGAAGGGCCAGGGATGCCAAGCTCAACTTCTGTTGTCGTCGATTCGCAGCATTTCTTCTTGCCACTAACTGCAGGGTGCGACTGAGGCGGGCCCCGTCCGATTTGAATTCGGCCGACGAGCCGTCGCGGCGGCGCGAGCCAGCTGGCGGCGGCAAGCCTCCGCGCCCGCCCCCGGGGCTCGGGCCCCCTGCCTGGGCCCCCGACCAGGCCGCGGGCGGTCGGCTGCCACGAGCCGGGAGCGGCGGGCGCTGGCGCGGGCTCCGACGCCGGCGCTCGTGAACGAGGAGCTTTGGTTCTTCAGCGCGCTCAGGCGGTGAATGCCCGAGCCGTTACAGAGGGGCGGGTTCTGAAGCGGACAGCGGGCCTGAAGACGTCGGCCAAGCGCGGGCGCGCCGAGAAGTAGCTGAAGACGCAGAGCAGGGAATTGACTTCAGCCGCGCGGAGTTGGAGAAGCATCTTGGAGACCAAGGCGGTGAAGCCGGCTTGGCGGGGGACTTGCTCCCAGGCTGCGCAGATCATCCTGCGCTTTGCCAAGACAGCCAAGGCGGACCCCCCACCCCCGCCGCGAGCTCGACAAGAAGATGCGCGATCTGTTCGACCGGCAGCACTTCGAGGGCGAGGGCGGGCATGTGGGCCACCAGTTCTTCGCGGCCTGGCTGGAGTGCATGCCCGAGCACCGCTGCACGCCCGAGCACCAGTTCATCGCGCCTGTCGGAGGCCTTCGAGGTCTGGGGCGCTCTGTTTACCGAGCTCCTGAGGGAGCAGACGGACAAGCGCAGGTTGATGGTGCTGTAGCTGCTCATGATGCTGGACGCCAACTCGCGGCCCGGCGAGGCACGCGACTTGCGCGCGCGTTGGTTGGTGGCACCCGCCCAGAATATCGGGGGGCACCGGGCGTTCGCTTTAAGGCTGCAGGCCGAAGGAGGACCGCGACCCCGCCAAGGTCGGTCGCTTCGACGACGCCGCGGAGCGGGGCCCCCCGAAGCTGCAGAGTGGGCGGGCCACCTGTTCAAGCAGCTGAAGGAGACCCGGGACTCCGACGAGCCGCCGTGGAAGCACAGCTACGAGGAGTTCGCCAAGACGGCGGGAAAGGCGGCGGTCAAGATCGGGACGCCGCGCGCGGTGCCGCACTTGACTCGCCGCAGCGGGGCGTCAATCGACGCTCTCAACCACGCCCCGCCGTTGGGGGAGATTCGAAAGC